TGCGTCAGCTGGGGACCTTAGGAGAAGGGGTAGATGCTGTTTATGTCTTTTCATGAGAAGAACTTTTAGCAATATCTGCATTCCCTTGGAGAGCTGCAGACTCCTTGGGCATTTCCCATGTCAAGCAGTAGTGGTCCTGGACTGTGGAGAATGCGTTAAATGAGATAACAGATACACGCAGGCTGCAGACATGCAGAACACGAGAGGGAAGAGCTCTAGTTTTACATTGTGATGGTTCTGTGCTGTGACCCCCAGAATTCTTTCTCATTTGTCCATCTGTGGGGGAAGATGTGACTTAGTTACTACTGATAGGTACTAGGAACAGGAATCTCTCTTTGGTGATGAAATGATTTAAAACAAGGCCAGCCCCGCAACAACCAGAGTCTTATTCCCAGGACCAACTCCCAAAAGTTATCCTCTAATCCCCACACACATGCTTGTAACACATGTGGTCTCCCATGTACATACATGTACACGAAATATTTTTCAAAGACTTTTTTATCTTATACACATGAGTGTTTGTCTGCAGTATGTATGTATACCGCATATGTGTCTGATCCCCCCCAAAGGCCAGGGGAAGCCATCAAATCTCCTGGAGCTGGAGTTACAGATGGTTGTGAGTTAGTTGCCCTGTGAGTGCTGGGGCTTAACCCAGGTCCTCTGTGACCACAGCAAGCACTTTTCAGTGCTGAGCCATTTCTCCAGCCTCCAGTAAATTTTTTAAAAGTTAAAGAAAAAAATGAGCAGATCTGAAATGGATGCAGCGGCATAACACTCAATATGTTGAAACTGACTGTGGACTTGGAATGTGTGAAGCAGACCATGTGGATTAACCCTTGGGAAAGTTGTACATCAACTGCTTTGGTGGGAAGGCGGGGGCGGGGGGGGGGAAGGACTAGAAAACCTGAACAGCAGAGGCCACACTGTACACAGAGCGCAGGCCTGGTACAGCGCTGGTCATCCAAGGGCTTCATATTCATCCTGGCTCAGCCTTCATCTGGCTGTGACCTTGGAAAAGCTCCCTCCATTCTGTGTGCTTTCTTTGCCTCCTTGTTGGGAGAGATGAGCGAGAGAGAGAGAGAGAGAGAGAGAGAGAGAGAGAGAGAGAGAGAGAGAGAGAACTGAGAACAAGGATGCACCCCCTGATGGCTTAAGTCTACAGTTTGCCTCCTGCCTCCGCTGGAGGAGGGAGGAGCAGAGGGAAGCCAGAGATAGGCAGAGAGCAGATATTCCCTAGGCCTTTCCCCTCCCGTTCTCTCTGCTCTGCATCTTGCCCTCCCCTTGACCTCTAGGTCTTTGTTAGCGTCCATCAACCTGGAAGCCCAAGTCCATGCATGCAGGACAGTGTGTGCGGCTCGGACAAGGTCAAGGTCATGAGGAGACTCAGACGTGAGCCACACGTCAAGTGTGATTCCACCTCTAGTAATAGATAGACCTTGGGAAGGAAGCAGCTTGGAAAATGAGGGGAGACACACAACAAACTCCCCAGGTTTTTCCTGTTATTTTCTATTGCCTACTTAAAAAGAGAACATCCCCTCATTGGTTCTGTGGCATCTGTTAATATATAGCAGTAAGCTGCACTTGACTATACGTATTTTAATTTTTTATTGTGGTAAAGCATATCCCCTTTTCCCCCCTCTTTGCCATCTTTTAAGCAAACCATGCAGTGACCTTAGTCTAGTAACATGGATGCCACTGCCAGCCATGTCTAAGAAGTGCGGGATCCCAAATGTTCCTCTCCGTGGCCTTTTACATTTGCCTGTACCGTGTGACCGCTACCTGAATCTCCCATGCCCTTCTCGTCCGTTTTCCTTTAGCTATTTGCTCTTGTTAATTGTAGGCCTTTGCTCAGGGAGGTGGGGCAAAACAGGAGACAGAGCATGGTTGTTTAGGTTTGGTTTGGCTTTTGCAGGAGGCTTAGGTACTTCTTCGGTTTGCATGGTCAGGATCTCAAGGTTTCCTCCCCGCGGGCTTACGTTCCCATGTTCTTGTTCCGGAGGGCATAGTGCAGGGACGGGAACACGATGCTTTCCAGATCTGCTGTCTTCCAGCTCAATAGGATTCCCTTGTCCTACATCCCAGGGCCACGTCACAGACTGAAACATTATCACTGGGGAGTGCTCCAAATTCTCAGTGCAGATAGAGACAGTGGTGCCAGCCACACCTTCTGCTCAACAGAACACAGGTAACAAACTGCTTACTCCCTGCCTGGCGATTTGTTTGGGACGTTTCTGTGACCTCAAGAGGTTTGCTTGCCTGATAGCTACATTCAAAATGACATTGGTCCATTTTCTCATTTTGTGAAAGATAAAAACTAGGAAGCTAAAAATATTTAGTATTTGCTTGATTTATTATTATTTTCGATATTTAAGTCTGAGGTGCTGGGAGGTAAAGAGAAACTCTAGGATCAGAATACAGCCTATTAAACAAGAAAGGGACCAGTGAAAGGCTGGGAAAAGAGATCCTGCCACATACTCCAAGTGGTAAAATGCAGGAGGGCTGCTTTAGTCCCAGAGACAGGGAGCAATTACACGATTTTGTTCAGAAACCCCAAAGAAAGCAAAACCAAATAAAAACGCAAAACTTTTCCACACCAAGTGTTCTGTCGTCTCTCCCAACCTTCTCTCTCCTTCCCTCCCAACTCTAACTTCTCTGTCTGCAAATGGGCACTGTGTTTTTAATCCTCATGTGAAAGAAGTCCTTGTGTTAAGCCTAAAATCCAGAACCTGAATCCCAACCACAAGATTGACTCCGATGCAAAAACAGGGATTCTTTATTATGAATTAACTCAGGTCCCTCTGTTTGTCCCTTTGAAGCAGCAGCAACAGGAACAGCATAGGAGCGAGACGCATAGCAGCAAACAAGAAGGCTTTTATACAGGGGAAGAGGCTTGGGACTCTGGGCTTGTGATTGGCTGCCCTCTAGTGGATGAAGGGAATTCCAGATTTCCAGGCTTAGGATTGGCTGCTCCCTACGATGCAAGGAGGTATGAGAGGAATTTCAAGCCTCTAGGGGCTCAGTGATTGGTCAGTTTTCCCTGCTCAGGGATTGGCTGGTTTTGTCTCAAGGGCAGAGATGGCTCCGATTCTAGGACCAAATTGTGTTTCTTTCTTTGGTTCGTTTTACCTTTTTGACCCTAATTTTGGGACCAGGGTGAATATCTTTGGTATGCTCTGAATCTAGGGGCTTAGTGCGTTCTTTTGGTCCTGGTTTCAGGGTCTAGGGATTTTCCTCCGGTTCTTGGCTCAAGGATAAAGCGTCTCTTCCCTGGCTCTGGTCCCATTTTCAGGGTGTGTTTCTTTCACTGGGTTGGGGCTTGGAGCCGAGCCGTTCAGGGTCTGTGTAGGGCTTCGTTTTGGGTCAGAGATTTTCTGGGGCCTGGGTCTCTCACTTGGGCAGTCTGGGAAAATTAAAGGGAAAGTAGGGAGTGTGTTGGGATTTTAAATTCATTTAAATGCATTTTAATTTTTTTTTTTCGAGACAGGGTTTCTCTGTGGTTTTGGAGCCTGTCCTGGAACTAGCTCTTGTAGACCAGGCTGGTCTCGAACTCACAGAGATCCGCCTGCCTCTGCCTCCCAAGTGCTGGGATTAAAGGCGTGCGCCACCACCGCCCGGCAATGCATTTTAATTTTAAAATTTAAATACCTACCAGTGCAGAATCATTTTCAGGTCAAACCATGGACACATAGGCAGAGGAGTTTCAAAGCTCTGACAGCAGAATAAAATAGATACTGTGTTATTTTCCAAAATATTTCTGATATTTACAATTTATTGGGTTTTTTTTTGTTTTGTGTGTTTGTTTTATGTAACTTCCTCTATACTCAACTCAGAAGTTTGTTTTATGGCTATTTAAATGGTGGTTATAGCTGGAAGGGTTAAAGTTTTATTTACTCACATGTGTAACTTTTGCTTTATAGCTCATTTTATTTTCAAATAGTCCACGCCTTTGCCTTACGCCTCCTTGATCTGTTGATTTCTGAGAGATGTATGGTAGTGTTCCCAAGAACAGAGGTTTGTTAATTTCAGTTCTTATGGTAATTGGGTTCCCCCAAAATATTCTGAAAGCTTGCTCTTGGCGCATGAGGACTGGCAGACATTACATTTTTCTCAGTGGATTGTGCCTATTTATTTACTTATTTATTTATTATACAGTATTCTACCTACATACCAGAAGAGGGCACCATATCACATTACAGATGGTTGTGAGCCACCATGTGGTTGCTAGGACTTGAGGTCAGGTCTCTGGAATAGCAGCCAGTGCTCTTACCATTTGAGCCATCTCTCCAGCCCCTCATTGATATTTTTAATTAAAATATTTTTAGACTTTAACATTTTTTAACTTATGTTTATGGATACTTTCCTGCATGCATGTGTGTGCACACCGTGCTAGAGGAGGTCAGAAGGGGACATTGATCCCCTGGGAATAGAGTTATAGCTATGAGCCTCTACATGGGTCCTGGGAATTGGGCCAGGGCCCTCTGAAAGAGTAACAAGTGTTTTTAGCCATTGAGCAATGTCTCCAGACCCTTTCTGCCATATTTTTGTTTTGTTTGTTTGTTTTTCGAAACAGGATTTCTATGTGTTGCCCTAGCTGTCCTAGAACTTGCTCTGAAGACCAGGCTGGCTGTAAACTCACAGAGATCCACCTGCCTCTGCCTCTTGAGTGCTAGGAATAAAGGCATGTGCCACCACTGAATGGCTCCTCCCTGACATTTTAAATAATTTTTTTCTTGCATATTATTTTGCGTGGATCAATATTTTTATACTTGATCTTGTTTTCCTTTCTTCTGCATTCAATACTTTTTTTTATATTTTTGTTTGTGAGACTAGCCTCTGATGGTTGAGCCACCTCTCCAGCCCTCATCACTATTTTTTTTTTTTTTTTTTTTTTTTTGATTTTCGAGACAGGGTTTCTCCGTAGCTTTTGGTTCCTGTCCTGGAACTAGCTCTTGTAGACCAGGCTGTCATCACTATTTTTTAAAAGATGCATTTAGGTCATAGTCGCCATGGCCAGCTATCCGTACGGGCAGAATTGCCCCGGAGCTGCAGGACAGGCACCTGGAGCACCTCCAGGTGGCTACTACCCTGGACCTCCCCATGGTGGGGGCTAGTATGGCAGTGGATTCCCCCCTGGTGGTGGTTACGGAGGTCCTTCCCCTGGAGGGCCATATGGATACCCCAGTGCTGGGGGACTCCCCTCTGGAACTCCGAGTGGACCATATGGTGGTGTCCCCCCAGGGGGCCCCTACGGTCAGCCACCTCCAAGTTCCTATGGTGCCCAGCAGCCTGGACCTTATGGACAGGGTGGTGTCCCCCCCAATGTGGATCCTGAGGCCTACTCGTGGTTCCAGTCAGTGGATGCCGATCACAGCGGCTATATCTCCCTGAAGGAGCTGAAGCAGGCCCTCGTCAACTCTAACTGGTCCTCGTTCAATGATGAGACCTGCCTCATGATGATAAACATGTTTGATAAGACCAAATCCGGCCGCATTGATGTCGTCGGCTTCTCAGCCCTATGGAGATTCCTCCAGCAGTGGAAGAGCCTCTTCCAGCAGTATGACCGGGACCGCTCTGGATCCATCAGCTCTGTAGAGCTGCAGCAAGCGCTGTCGCAGATGGGCTACAACCTGAGCCCTCAGTTCACCCAGCTCCTGGTGTCTCGCTACTGTGCGCGCTCTGCCACTCCCGCCATGCAGCTTGACTGCTTCATCAAGGTGTGTACCCAGCTGCAGGTGCTGACTGAGGCCTTCCGGGAAAAGGACACCGCCGTACAGGGCAACATTCGGCTCAGCTTTGAAGACTTCGTCACCATGACAGCCTCTCGGATGCTATGATCCAGCCTACCCAACAAGAGTGGAGCACACCAAGGGATGCGGCCTGTCTACTCTTCCTTCTCTCCTAGCAAAGCTTTTCCTAGCTTGACCTAGGAAAGGTCCGAAGGCTTGGGCTGTGGAATGGCACCACCTTGGGGTAGGGGATGCTGGTGGTGCAGTGGAGTTAGTGTCTGGTCAGCTGTCCCTGGCCTCTGGCTTCCCCCTCTGTTCCCTGATGACAGTGCTAAGCATCGCTGCTGGCCTCTGCTGGCATGCCTGTCACTCCTCACCAAGACCGTCAGGTCAGATGAGCCCAGCTTCTGCTAAGTGGACTCAGACTGAGCATGAGGGAGATTTCCTGGGACCAGTGCCTGGGATTCCTCAACTCCCACAATCCTTGTGTGTTAGCATTAGTTCACCTGAGACTTTGCCTGCTCTAGAGGCTTGGAGAAGCTGCCATTTCAGCCATATCTGATGAGGTTCCTGCCCTCCAAAACTTGGACCCCTCACTGACCTGCCATGTTCCACTCAGCTTCAGTTCCAGGGGACAGTTGTCGCATCTTACTGCCAATGTTTATAATTTGCTTTTTTTTTTCCCATTTGGGGCCAAAAGTCCAGAAAACTGTGAGTTTCAATAAAAGACTCTACAGTCCCATGCTTCCCAAAAAAAAAAAAAAAAAAGATGCATTTATTTTTATTTTGTGTGAGTGTTTGCCTGCATGTATGCATATGTACCATGTGTATGCCTGATGCCCAGAAAGACCAGAAGAAGGCTGCAGATTCCTTAGACCTTAAGTTACAGGCAGTTGTGAGCCACCATGTGGATGGTATACTGGGAACTGAACCCAGGTCCTCTGCAATAGCATACAGTACTCTTAACCACTGAGCCACCTCTCTGGTCCCTTTCATTGCCACTTTACAATGCAGACTGAACCGACAGTGAGAAAAACCTGAAATTTTAAAATTTGTATAAATTGTTTTTAACCTAGACAAAAATCTCCTAGACCATTACAACAGACTACAGTTACAAGACAAAAAAGCAACAGCAAAAAAAAAAAAAACCAAACAAAAAACTTCATTGATGTATAACTTAAAAATTATAAAATTCATTTTCCAAGTGACTCTGTCTCTATGATCCATTTCTTAAAAATTTTTTATTTCTTGTTAAAATAGTAATGAATTGTGCTTAAGACCTGAATGTATATTATCTTTCCCAGCCATAAACATACAATTGCCTAAGAATCTCAGAAAGAAAAGAAAACAATTGTAAGGAATATGTGTTATATATACAATGCAAAAATTTCCAGTTAGAAGAAAGAATATTGAATGAAGAGGGCAGAGATCTGTGCGTTTAAGACAAGCTTGATCTACATAGTAGTTCCAGACAAGTATGTAGTGAGTTCCTGTCTCAGAAAAGAAAAAAACAGGAAAGTATATGCAACTGAGATAATCATACTGAGAGAATTAAGCCATTCTCAGAAAGATAGAGACCCAGACCCCAGGAAATCCCTGATCTGCAGCCCCCACCCAGACCCCGAATGGCTTGGCTCCAGTCCAGAACCAGGGAAAGAAACACAACCTGAAAAGAGGGCCAGAGCCAGGGAAAGAGAGACTTTGTCCCCAAAACTATGGCCCTGGACTATGGACCCTGGGCCCCTGGCCCTGCTCCTGGCCTCCTGGCCGTCGCCCACCTGGCCCTGGACCCCTGACCCTGGCCCTGCCCCCCGCCCCCAGCGCTGACCCTGGGCCCCCTGACCCTGGCTTATCTGGTCCTGGCCCTGGCCCCCCTTTCCCTGGAACTGGCTCTGGCCTATCTGGCCCTGACCCCTCTGGCTCTGGCCCTGGCTGCCTGGCCCCACCCTGATACTGGCCCTGGCCCTGTCCCCTCTGGCCTTGGCCCTGGGCTTGGCTTCCCTGGCTTTGGCTCTGGCGCCCCCTGACCCTAGCTCTGGCCCTCCTGGCCCTGGCCCTGGCCCCCCTGGCTTTGGCCATGACCCCCCTGATCCTGGCTTTGGCCCCCATGGCTCTGGTCCCCTGGCTTTGGTCTGAGTCCCCTGACCCTGGCCCCACTGGCCCTGGCTTTGGCCTTGGGCCCATCCCCCCTGAATTTGGCCCTGGCCCCCCTGGCCCTGGCCCTAGTTCTGACCCCCCTGGTCCTAGCACTGGCTCTAGCCCCCCTGGCCCTGGTCCTGCCCTTGCCACATGGCCCTGACGTCTCTGGTTCTGGCCCTGACCCTACTTGCCCTGGTCCCCCTGGCCCTGGCCTTGGCCCTTGCTCCTCTGATCCTGGCCCCCCTGACATTGGCCCTGGCCGTGGCCCCCCTGGACCTGGACCTGGCTCCCCTGGCCCTAGCTTCCCTGGCCCTTGCCTTGGCCTTGGTCCTGGCCCCCCCAGGCCCTGGCCCTGGCCCCCCTGGCTCTGACCCTGTCTTCCATGCTTCTCCTGGCATGGCCCAGTAAGCCCTTTTAAAGCATCCAGCCACTTTTCCAGCCCAAAGTCCTGTCTTCTGTATGTCTCCAGTAAATCTTAGGTCAGGCCTGTCACAGAAACAACCCACTCTCTGGTACTAACTTCTGTCTCAGTCACTGTTCTATTGTGCTGTAAAGTAACACCATGACAAAAGCAACTATTATAAGCAAAAGCATTTAACTGGGGGATCACTTCAGTTTCAGAGGTTAATCCATTCTCATCATGGCGGCACATAGGCAGATGACAGAGCTGGAGCTAAGAACTACATCCTGATCTGATCAGGGAGAGAGAGAGAGAGAGAGAGAGAGAGAGAGAGAGAGAGAGAGAGAGAGAGAGAGAGTGTTCAGGGCTTGGCATGCGGTTTTGAATCTTCAAAACCCACCCTCAGTGACACACTTTCTCCAACAAGACCACACCTCTTAATCCGTTCAAATAGTGCCCCTCCCCTCTCCTGGTGACTAAGCATTCAAATATATGAGCCTGTAGGTAGGGGCCATTCTCATTCAACCACCACACGTGGAAAACTGAATTAAATCCCACATAAAACTCCAAAGCCACAGAGAAACCCTGTCTCCAAAAAAAAAAAAAAAATCCCACATAAAAGTGGAGAGGACTGACTGCATGAAATTGTCCTCTGACCTCCACATTCACGTGCATGCAAGTATACACACGCACGCACGCACACACACACACACACACACACACACAGTTGTTTAAATCACTCATGTGCACAAGCAAACATCAAAAGGTCCCAGGCACTAATGGTCTTATTCCAATCTCATCGGATGACCAGATAAACGAGTCATCTCAAAACCAATGGCGCTTTGAACAGGACACAGGTGCCCAAAGGAAGAGGTCTTAGCTGGAGATTTAATTACAAGCCATCACCATAAATAAAACTTGTTTCATTGGAGCTGTAATAAGGTTCTTGAGGGTGCAATGAAGTGAGGTCCCTGGTGCCGTGTGTGGGTTTTGCTGTCAGAATTTGACTAATGCGGGGTTAGTGCCACAGCTATTGACAACAGAACAAATTTCTATGGAAATTACTCTTAATACTGAATGACTACAACTTAATGGCCACATTTGTAAGAAGATTGGCTAAGTCAAAGAACACTAGCAGGTCTCATCATTCATAAAATTAAAGATAGAACAACAAACGGGGTGGGAAAACCAACCTATCGATGGAAAACAGTTAACTCACTTTCTTCTGTTGCTGGAAATAGTTTTAAGTAGGTTCGGCGAAAAGGCCCAAGGCAGTGTCTCTTCCCTGTTTTTATTTACCCTTTGCAATCTATTCGGGTTCCAGAACAAACCATTCAGAAACGGGTGTTAGGAACAACAGATGCCTCTCTCCATTCTGGAAGCTGGACGTCCTCATCAGGACTTATCAGGATTGGCCACGTTCTGCTCAGAGCTTGCTTTTAGGTTGCTGATTCTCACCTTCTCTTTGTGTCCTCACTTGGAGCAATGAGGACAGGAGGCCTCTCTGGGGCATCTTTTATTAGGGGCACTTATCTCACTGAGGGGCTAGGACCTGGGTCTGGTTCCCAGCACCTGTGCCTATATCTCCAGCACCAAAGGACCCACATCCTCAGATACCCAAAGCAACTTTATGCACACACACACACACACACACACACACACACACACACACACACACTTTAAAAAAAATGGTTTTGGCCAGGCAGTAGTTTTGCACGCCTTTAATCCCAGCACTCAGGAGGCAGAGGCAGGTGGATCTCCTTGAGTTCGAGGGCAGTCTGGTCTACAGAGTGAGTCCCAAGACAGCCAGGACAGTTTCACAGAGAAGCCCTGTCTTGAAGACAAACAAACAGACAAAAAACTACGGTTTTGTCAGATAAGATTTTAATTTGGAGGACTACACAACAAAACATCCAAAGTTTTGGCCTTTAAGAATAATTTTTTTACAGTTGGAAAGATAGCTCAGCAGTTAAGATCATATACTGTTCTTCAGAGGACCGAAATTTGGGTTCCCAGCATATATATCAGACAGTTTGCAACAATCTGTTAAGTCCAGTTCTGTGTGATCTGATGCCCTCTTCTGGCCTCCACAGGCACTGCATGCATAGGCTCAAACTTTCAGACACACATCCACATATACACATAATTTATGATAAAAAAAAATAAAACAAATAAACAAAAACCCTTCAAGGCAGGCATTACACCCAGAAGTATATGGCCAACACACACACAAATAATCTCAAAGGTATTTTTGGATTTTTTTTTCTCTCACATTGCTTTGTTTGGGCTTCTTTTGTTTTGTTTTTTTTTTTGTTTTTTCAAGACAGGGTTTCTTTGTCTGTCCTGGAACTCCCTTTGTAGACCATAAACACCACACCCTACAAGAAAGCTGGCCTCCTGTCTTCAGAATCATCTCAGCACGTATTTGGTTTCTAACTGTGATCATTTCAGGAAATTGCATCCACAAAAGCTGTGCCAAAGAACCCACAAAGGGCGGGGAGGAGTGTGTCTTCAGGAACCCAGTTACTTGGATATTTAGGATTATTCTGAAGAACGGTACACACTGGGAGGCTGCAGGAGCAGGTCTGTTTGTCTCCATAGCTTCTAGTGCCTGTGTGTGTGTAAAGTGTATGTTTGTGTGCATGTGTGTGCCTGTGAATCATGTGTGTGAA